TATATATATATATATATATATATATATATATATATATATATATATAGGCTTAGGTTCTTTTGTTTAAAGTAATTATTGTTGTTATTGTATTCATAAATGTGGACCAATCAAATTTACTTATTTTAAGAAAATGATTAATATCTATTATTGAATTAAATATTATTGAAAAAAATCATCTTAATTAATTACAAGGGTAATTTAGTCAATTAAATAGATTTAATAAAGGAAAATGCATTTTTTAAGAGATCATATATTCTATTAATTTTAAAAATCCGATTTTACAAATTATAATATTTTAATTCGGACATTCTGACAGAATATGTTTATGAGTATATTCAAAAATAAAAATATTTTTGAACCATAAATAATAAAAATATTCTTGAACCTATTTCTTTATAATGAATTTAAAAAACTTCTAGTACAATAACAAATTCTTGAACAATCAATTGAAGAATAAAAACAACAAATATATTATTTCTTATAGAATACGGGTAACAATTGTTAATAATTACATCAAAATCTAACAACGACTAATACATTCTAAAAGAATAATGTGGTCTGTTTCAATTTTGTGGTCCGTTCTTCAAGCATCAAATTTTGTGATTCCAGCAGAATTTGGAATTCGTCATTCCATTCCAACAGAATTGGAATTCTTGATTCCAATCCAATAGAATTTATAGAATACTATAAACGAAGAAATGTTCATGATTATCATAAAAAGCATTCTTTTCTGATAGAATACTATAAACGAAGAAATATCATTCAGTTGAAGCATTTTAGCGAACACTTGGTGTGCATCAAAACAACTTTCAATTTCCTGTAAAAATTAGACAATAATAACAAATTCCCAATTCACCAAAAAGATTACACCTTGAAAGAATTAGACAATAAACCTGAACACATCCAAAATTTCTTTGATTTCTATAGATATAGTAAGAAAATTACTAATTATTTAAATTGAACTTGGATGTGCAACCTGAATCTTCTTCTTGCTTCAAGATTCTTGGGGACATTAGCAGCAGAATCCTTCATTTTTAAAAGTAAGTGCAACCGCTTCATCTGCTCGTTCTGTAAGAAGAGGTTAAATTATGTTGTCAATGAAATTGAACTTTTTTATAAAACTATATAAAGGTCAAAATCAACATACAATGTCGGGGTCTCTAGGCCATCTGATATTGGCAAATAGGCGTCCTTCATTTCTTGCCTTTGCTAATATATTCCATGTATCAAGCTGCTCACTGAAAAATTAAAACCCCACTATAATTAATCTCATATAGAAGTAAAACATTTCATGATTTAGGTTTAGGGTGTAAGGTTTACACAGCATACCTTAGATTTCGACCCACCTTTCTCATTCGATTTCAACATAGAGGCTTCAAATCCGATTGCAATCTCATGAACAGCCCCAATCGATTGCGAGATTGTGACATTCAATTCCAATCAATTCCGACTTTGAAGTATGATATTCTGATTTTAATTTTTGATGAATAGTTCTAATTTTTGCTTATGAGTAAAATCGGTTTCGCTTTATGTGTCTTCCGGCTAGAGACGAACCTTTCTTATTCCTGTCAAAGATAACAATCGAACGCCTCGTGGATCGGTGTTGTCCCGATGCTTCTTCCCTCCACACATCCTCGCGATTTCCAAACTATCATAGAAGCTCCGTCGACATTCCCTGTTCCTTCGTTTCCCTTACAGTCAGCGTCTTCCCTTCACACACTATGCCGGAACCGGGAGAGAAGCAGCCGAGAGCTGCTTGATTGTGAAAGTCAGCTTGATGCCGGAGACGTCGTTTCTTTACAACAATTGATTGTGTTGGGTCTACAGCTAAGGATCGGTTGTTTATAGACTGGAGACGAGGTCGATTGTAGGGTTTTAAACTAAATTACTAATTAAAAGGAATGAAAATACCTAGGTAGCTAAGTCAATGGTTACCATAATTATAGGCTATTATTTGTGGAAACTAATTATCAAATTACCTATTTACCCTTATTTATTTATTTAATTATTTATTTTTATTTTAAATTTTGATCGGCCCACATTTATGCATACAATAACACAATACTTAGTTTAAACAAATGAATATATATATATATATATATATATATATATATATAATAGATATATATATATATATATATCTATATATATATATATATATATATATATATCTTATATATATATATATATAAAAGTTATTGGAACATTCTATCAAGACATAATTCGTGGAGTACTTTTATGTATGTAAGTTATTGTCATGCAACATTAAATGTTTCCATGTAAAACCTTAATCTCATGCAATCTACAACACACTGTTTAGTAGCTTTTAATATTTTTTATGAAATAGTTAGAACATTTCTTTGCAATATATATCATCAACTATGTTTTCTTATGTAACCCATTGGTTAAATATCAACTAAGATTAAATGCCACACATAATTTAACCTAATAATGTTATACGAAATTATAGGTGTTACACTTTTCCTCTCACACTCTCACACTCTCCGATTCATCTCCCATTCAACCATTATCATTCACGAATACCAATCAATCTTATCATATCTACAACCTTGTTTCATACCCGGATCGTCATTCTGGGCATACCCTTTGACTTCCAAGAAGATGAAGATCATCCAAATCCCATCAATTAAAGATAAAGATCAAAATCCCACCTCCAATTAATGTTGTCCAAGTCCATATCTAAATACCATTAATTGTTGATCTTGAACACATCGATTTTGGTTACATTACGGCTGGTGATTGAGAAGGTTTCCTCATCAAAGCTTCTAATAGCTCCTACCATCCCGATACACATCAATATTGTGGCAGAAACATAAAAAGGCAAAGAAGTCATAAATACTTTGGATTGCGAATCAAATATAGGAAAAACGTACATAGATTAGATTGAAATCAATATTTGATTTTGAGTTGGTTTCATGCTTTATTTTGATTTTGCTTTCACATGATGAGGTCCGTTCGTTGGGGCTGTTATGTAAGATATAAGGAAGTAAAATCGGGAAAATGTTTACAAGCAATTCAAGGAAGATGTTTATAAGTATTCAATGAAGTTGTTATCCAATGATTGTTTGGATTTAAGAGAGGTATCATGATCTTGACTCTTGGTAATGTATAGAAGAAATGAAAGTACGATTTTTATTTGTATTATTTGGGGAAAGGTTCTATGATTTCTTTTGATTTGGCTTTCGTTTCTAGGGGTGGGAGTGTAGGGAGAGAAGTAAAGGATAATTTGTGGGGCTAAGATAAGATTGGTGGGTCCTATTAATTTAACAACGCTTATTAAATAATAAATATATATTAAAAAAACTTAAATAAGAACAAATAAGTCATTTTAATTCGGCATATGACTAAAATCGAAATAAAACACAACCATAAAGATGGTTCTGACTAAAAATAATAATATAGACGAAAGGTGTGATTTATTCCAAACCATGTGGATGATTAATATAATTACTTTTAAATGCATTTGTATTATGCTATTTTTATTAGATTATTAAGTGTTTTTTTCTCTCTAGAAATCTTTGTAGATTCAAATTACTAAAATCATGAGCAAATGTTCCTCATATTTAAACCACTTATTCTACATCTTAAAGATGACTATGCTCTGTAAAATCAAACAAAATATGATTTATTCTGCACGTTGGTTACATAATAAATATTCATCGCATCTACTAAATGAATTATTTAGAGTCAATTCTGAAAAAAAAAATCAAAATCAAAATCAAAATTTGGGATTTAGTTGTTTGTGCATAAGAAACAACAATAGCAAAGAAAATAATGTACCTCAGAATCGACTCAAACGTAGTCGTGGTGCATTCATCTTTCTCCATTGTTTCTATTTCATTAATATCCGGCAAAAGTTTTTAATCTATTTACCTTATTTAACCATGTTTAGGAATTGGATTGTTATTCAATATCACTACATTAAATCTACTTTATTTTAAAATGTTCGTTTAAAAGTAACATGTTTTTAATACTTTTGACAAAATTGCAAAAATGGTCCCTGTGGTTTGTCAATTTATGTGGTTAAGGTCCAAAAAAAAGTTTATTAGCAAAAAAGGTCCCTATTTGATGGTTTTGTTGCGGTTTTGGTCCCAACCTCGTTAAGTTTAACAGCATGGATGTTAACTTTTGGCAAATGACAGATTTACCCCTGGGACCATTTCTGCAGTTTTATCTTTTTACCAAACTACAAGGACCAATTATGCAATTTTTCTTTTTCATTTTATTGAATTATTATATAATTATTCTAATTACTTTTGCTTTTTAACTTTTTTCTTATTGTATTATTTTTTATTGGTTTATTATATATTAATAAATATATTTTTAATATCTTATATTTATATATTGAATAAATATTACTTTTTTATTATTAATTTTTTTTATTTATTTTTTTTTTGAATTTCTTCTTATTGCATTAATTATTTTTTATGGATTATTATATGATAATAATATTATTTAACATATAATATTTATCATTAGTAAGTGTTACTTTTTTGGATTATTAAATTCATTTAATTAATTTTTTTTAATTTTTTTATTTCGTTTAGTTCTTTTGATTGGATTATTCTATATTAATAAATATTATTTTTAATATAGTATATTTATTTTATATTAATAAATATTATTTTTATTTTTTTTTTAATTGATTTTTTTTTTCTTCTTCGGTTTACGTATTTTTTTTTTTATTGGATTATTATATATTAACAAATATTATTTTAGCATATAATATTTATCTATTAGTGTAAGTGTCAATTATTGGATTATAGTTTCATTAATTATTTTTTAAATTTTTATTGCCTTAGTTCTTTTTATGGACTATTAATTAAATTTATTATTTTATTATAATAAATAATTTATTAATTGTTTTATTTTTGTTTTTAATTTCTTTCGTTATTGTTTTAAATAAAAATATCAAACACTCCGGGTCAGCTCCTCCATTCATTGCATTTTACCATCTTGCGTCGTCGTATCATCTCGCTGGAAATCATCGATCATCAACTACAGTCGGCCATTCTCGACGAAAACTACACCACTTGACTACCCATACAATGTGAAATAAACCCAGAAAACATTCCTTCCTCCAGCCGACCATTCATTACAGATACCACCATCGATGACGATATTGTTAGATCGAGGGTTTTCAAACCACCATATCTACTACAGGTGGTGAAAAAGTTGTAGAACTCGTTATTCGGTACTCGTTTGGCCGACCTCCTAGTAATGAATACTCAGATTTGGTAATTCATGTAGAAATATTTTTAGGGAAATTATATATGTCAAAATCATACGTTAAAATCATAAGTTTATCGAAATATATAACAAATTTTGATATACGTGAATACACAAAAACTAAAATACACACGATAATATCACTTCGTAAATAATTACTGAACTTATATATTTATATATATAGTAACAGGGTTGGAGACGACCCGATAGTGGTTTGTTGTGACTGAGTGGTGGTGGTGGTGTTGTCCAAAATATGTTATCTTCCAAATATTTAAAATAAATTAGAGAATGTGGGGTGGGTGAGATTGAGATTTTAGTATTTTTATTGAAACAAAAAGAAAGAAAGGAAATAAAAAAATAAATAAATAAAAACAATTAAAAATATTATTATTATAAATAAAAATAATAAATTTAAACTAATAATCCAATAAAAAGAACTAATGCAATAAAAAAATTTAAAAAAATTAATGAATAAATTTAATAATCCAATAAAGTAACACTTACTAATAGATAAATATTATATGCTAAAATAATATGTGTTAATATATAATAATCCAATAAAAAATTAATGCAATAAAAAAAATTAAAAAATTAATTAAAAAAATTAATAATAAAAAAAGTAATATTTATTAATATATAAATGAATTATATTATAAATAATATTTTTTAATATATAATAATTCAATCAAAAGAATTAACGAAATAAAAAAAATTAAAAAAATTAATTAAATGAATTTAATAATCCAATAAAATAACACTTACTAAGATAAATATTATATGTTAAAAATAATATTTTCTAATATATAATAATCCAACTAAAAAGATTTAATGCATTAAAGAAGAAATTCAAAAAAATTAATAATAAAAAAGTAATATTTATTAATATATAAATATAATATATTAATAATAGTATTTATTAATATATAATAATCCAATAAAAAATAATACAATAAGAAAAAAGTTAAAGGAAAAAAGTAATTCATTATTTAATAATTAAATAAAATGAAAAAGAAAAATTGCATAATTGGTCCTTGTAGTTTGGTAAAAAGATAAAACTGCAGAAATAGTCTCAGGGGTAAATCCGTCATTTGCCAAAATTTAACAG